AGGAAGGGAGGATGGAAGGAAGAGAAGGAGGGAAGGGAGGGAGGAAGGAAGAGAAGGAGGGAAGAAGGAAGGGAGGGAGGGAGGAAAAGGAAGAGGAAGAAAGGAAGGAAGGGAGGAAGAAAAAGAAAGAAAGATGGAATAAATTAGGAAAAAATAAAATAAAGCAGCTGACAGGAAAAAACAGAAGAAAGAAGGAAAAGATGGAAACAGGAAGTAAAACAGACGGAGGAGAAATGATTTAGAGAATAAAATAAATAGAGAAGTTCAGATCAATAACCGTTATTGATCCCTCGTTGATCATGTTTTACACAGTTTGGATTAAAGATGATTATAGAAAGATTCTACAAGCTCCTGAAACCTGACTGAGCTGTTGTTGTTGTTTATGTTGTTGTTGTTGTTGTTTGTGCGTCAGTGGTTTGAGGAGAAGCAGCAGCACTTTGAGAACCTGGACGTCCAGCTGAGGAAGCTCCACGCCAGCGTCGAGTCTCTGGTCTGCCACAGGAAAGGTACCAACCAGCCGGTTCTGGTTCTTCTGCTCACACCCACGTGTTCCTGTTTCATTTGGGTCGTCTGGGGTTGTTCTGTAACGTCCTGTGAGATAAACCTCCTCCTCTTCCTCCTCCTCCTCTTCCTCCTCCTCTTCCTCTTCCTCCTCCTCCTCCTCCTCTTCCTCCTCCTGGTCCAGAGCTGTCGGTGAACACGGCCCAGTTCGCCAAGTCGGCGGCCATGCTGGGTAACAGCGAGGACCACACGGCGCTGTCCAGAGCGCTGTCCCAGCTGGCCGAGGTGGAGGAGAAGATCGACCAGCTGCACCAGGACCAGGCCAACGGGGACTTCTACCTGTTCTCTGAGCTGCTGGGGGACTACGTCCGGCTGCTCACCGCCGTCAAGGTGACGCACCAGAACCCCTCTGAGTTTTTATACGTGTCCGCGGCCGGGCTGACGTGTTGTTTGCGTGTGCAGGGCGTGTTCGAGCATCGCATGAAGACGTGGCAGAAGTGGCAGGACAGCCAGATGCTGCTGCAGAAGAAACGAGAGGCCGAAGCCAAGCTGCAGTTCACCAACAAGCCGGACAAGCTGCAGCAGGCCAAGGACGAGATCAAGGAGGTGAGGAGGGGAAGGACCATGAACCAGAACCAGAACTCTGTAGTGACCCGCATCAGCAGCATTAACAGGAGTCGAACGTTAAATCGTCTGACATCCTGCCCGACCGGTTCTGACCCGCTGGTAGAACAGAACGGTGATTTTTTAACAGGTGGTTAAATAATAAAAATCCCAGTTTAGTGACGATAAATGAAATAAAAACGTAAATGAAACACGCGGTGAAACAGGAAACCCTCAGTGATCCAACAGGAACGTTAGATGTGGAACTGGATCAGTACTTCAGGGTTCTGCTCGTTTAGTTCTGATCAGTCTGAAGCTGAAATGCACCAACAGGTTTTTATTTTCACTTTTTGCTCCCGTTAGTTTGAATTCATCCCTAAAACCTTATTTGGCTTCACTGCAGTAATAATGAATAAATAGAAGCTCAGTCTCCTCCCGTGTGTTTCCTGCCGGCGCGTCCGCTCAGGTAAAACAAACGCACCCTTCACCGTCCACTCATGTGAAAACTTTCCTCTTTTTCCTTCCTGCGCTTCACAGCAGCTCAGCAGCACCAACAGGAAAGTACTTTATTAGAGCGTCTGTTGAAGCTGTCACCGCACAAATTCGCCGTCTGTCAGGATGCGCCTGGACGG